GCACTTGCTCTGTGCCAGGGAGACTCCTGTTTGTTTGCACTTTTGTCAAGCTGGAATGCAAGTTGTGGCTTGGGGAACTTGGAGATCGTAGCTATGATTTTAAAAGAACAAACTAACAAAAATCCTATTCTGTTCTGGACATTTTCTAATACCTTGTCATCAGTTCAAGATCCTAGAGTGCTCTCAAGGTCAGCCTGTCCCCAGTTACAACTTTCCAGGCTGGGGACTACATCGAGCCCTTGCTGAAGTGATCACTATAGCTGGCCACTTGTTCTTAGCTTTGTTTACTGTCAGGCTGACAACACTTTTGAATGTTCATTCCCTTGGATCCATACTGAAGTGATGTGTGCTCCTGTTGTCATTGTGCAGGTGTTTCTTTCTTGACAAGCTGCAGGAGAAACTTCTCTGTGACCAGGCAAACGATAGTATGGAGGTGGATGGAGAATCCAGTGCTAGTGACCAAATGGAAGTGGATCAACAGGATGAAGACATTTACTCAATGATTAAAAGCTGCAAATTTAACATGAAAATGAAGATGGTAGAAAGTGCCAGGAAACAGGTGATTCTACTGTCTGATAGCTTCCAATTGTGTGAGAAAATACATAGAAACCACAGCTGGAAAAGCCCCTTAGGTGCTCTTGGACATCTTTTTTGCCTTGTCTCTTTTCGACCCTGCTGTCCAGGATCTTTTGAAAGCTCAAGAAAGTCAGTTCCACAGCAATAGAAAGCAAATGGATAAATATTGATTACGAGCTTGATGATAATTTCTCATTACTGGAAATGTTCCCTGAAGGCCCCTTTGATCCACAGGTAGTTTCTGACACTCTAAAGGACAGATAAATAAAGTATCTGAAATGCTTCTATCTTCAGTGGAAGGGATGCTTGCAACCAAACATTATGCTTTGTCATTTACAAGTAATCTCTTCCATGGAAGAAAGACATCAAATTCATACTGAATCAGTCATTTACTTCTGTCAGCAATTATGAAACATTTTATGGTTTGGGTTTTTTTTTTTTACAGTTTACATTAGTGCTGTTAGGATAACACTTCTATAAAGAACTAGAAGTAAGTGACTTAGAAATTTTGTTTTGGCTCTGGCTACTAAAATGACTGAAACAGCTTTCATGGATGAACCTTGTTCAAGCTTGAGACAAGATGAATAATATTTAGGACGAGGTCTCTCTCATCTTCTGAGATGCTGCATAAGTCTGCAATCAGTGGCAAGCATTTACTTTAAGCACTGTAATAACCAAATATAATGTTAGTGCTGTGCTGACTGTACACTCTTAAAGGAGTAAATGGAAAATAAGATCTCCCTTAATGTTACTTATACAAAACTTTTCATCAAAACACAAATAAGTCATTTGGTTAATAGTATTATAAACCAGTTGCAGTTATGTTCCCCATATGTGTTTGTAGTGCAGAACAGCTAATGCCACCTTAGTCATGTGGATAGAATTGTTTTAACTTCCTTAGTTTGTCAAACTTCTTTTCTTTTTTCTTTTCAAATTCCACCATTAGCACAAATCTGGTTTTGAACATGAGACCTGACAAGCAGCGGGCCTCTCTTCATCTTATTTTAGCTTTACCTGAGTTACCTAAATCTTCTCATCCTTTAATTTGATTGCAGAAAGGTTTCGTTTCCTCTTCAGATATATTATCTGTGAATTCTGTCTTAATCTGAATACAGAGCAGCTTCACAGTTGCCAAGAAGCTCCTGAAAGACCTGCGGAGAGATGCCAGGACGAGGGAGGACTGGCTGCTGAGGTGGAATTCCGCCTATTGCCGCTTCGTGCACAGCTCCAGCCGGAGCCAGAGTTGTCCTCAGCGTGTGCTGGCAGTGCTAAAAACCATCTCCCTGCTTGGTAACAGCTTTCTCTTGGCTGCACCTTGTTTATTGTGCAAAGCTTCTTTGTTGTCAAATTACCAACTCTAGTTTTCAATTCCAACAGAAGATACCAAGGCTGACTACCTTAGTAAGAACGTAATGGCCTTCCGAAACCAGAATCTTCTTCTGGGTACTACCTACCACATCATGGCCAGTGCTCTGAGTCAGGATCCAAGATGCCTTGAGCAAATCAAGGAGGAAAAGGCTGGGAAAATATCACTACTATCAGGAGAAAGTCTTGAGAATCCTGGAAAGGTAAATGAGAGGGGGAAACCTTTCAGGTATTTCAGTGTTGTAATCACTACTTGAATAGGTGGTGTTGAATGTGGATAGATACAGAGAATGTGAAACCCATCTGCTGCTGGTGATTTGCCCAGGAAAACCAGCTGGAGGGGAGGGGGAAAAAAAAACTGGTTGCTGTTTTGTGTGTTTTTTGCTCTCCTGGAGTTTTGCACCACTGTAGCCTTTATAATTGGCAAAGTGTTCTGGTGTTTTTTTTCTGTCCCACTTCTTTTATCTAAATGATTTTAGTGATAGAGAGGAGAGGGTTTTTAAGACAGGGCACATGCAGGTCACCTTTACCTGTTATGGGGCAGTGAATATTTGAAGAGTCCAGTGACAGACTGTGCTGCATCTGAAATCATCTCAGTTGTCAGTTGTCCCAGATGCTGTGGCACTGATGTTTCTGTTGAGTAAGAATTTGAAGTACCACTGCTGTTTGACTTCTGTTCATTCCTAAAGCCATCATGAAGACCCTTAGATATGAACCATATCAGTGTAAAAGAGGAAAAAAAAAAGCTCTTAATTCATGTGTTTATGGTTATTAAAGAGAAGCAGGTAAAGAGATTCCTGCAAAAAAGATTTTACATTTTCACGTGTGTAGAAACTTGAGCAAAAGCTTAAGCTTCATTTCTTAGCTAATTGTTAAAAACATTGTTCTTAAGGAAATCTAGAAGATGAGCATAAAAGCTCTTCTGTGTCAGATGAGTCAGATTAGGATACCAGATACTTCTATAAGCTTAAGGAGCTTAGTCTTAGTTCAGCTTAGCATTAAGCAGTACTCTGACCCTGGTAGTTTCACCTCTGCCTACCTGAAATTCAAACTATTTCATTTCAGTTACAGCATTTTTCAGTTGTTCCAACTTGTTCTGCAGCAATTTTGTATGTTGTTTAATATCTACAATAGCTGCAATGTCTGAGGTCAGTAAGCTTGTTGGCAATATGAGAAGGTATGTACTTCATTTATAAACATGCAGTTGTGAAGGTTCTGTCAAGTCCTTCATTGCATGAGCTGCATTAGAAAGGTGTGATTGATGTGGCTCTTTGTAATAGGGAAAAACATCAGATTTCAAATAGTTTGTATGGGCTTTTTAACACAAATTCCAAGTATAGCTGTTATGCAGATGTCTTAATAGGAAAAAATAACATTTTAAAATTGTTTTCTGTTAACTGGTTGCAAAAAATCAATGTTACCTCTCAACAGTTAATGTTTAACATTACGAGTTACAACATTATAAAAATTCTACACATGTCCAAAGACTGATTTAAATGTGAGAACATTAAGAGTTACAACAGTATAAAAATTCTACACAACATGTCCAAAGACTGATTTAAATGTGAAGTGTGGCTTATATTTTTCCATTTAAAATAGTGGAAATCATTGCTAGAAATGTCCTGATTTTTTTTTTCCACCTGTATTATCTGCTCAAAACATCTAATAGAGTTGAAATGTTATCTACTCGAGGCTTGAACCAAGCTGCAGTTTTAGGAGGAGTTACTGAATGCTACTTGCTAACGTGTGCTTTTGTCCTGCCCTGGCTGGCTCTCAGGTGTTGGCAGCTCTGAACAGGAAGGCTTTCCAGGCTTTGGGCAGTGCTGCCAGGAAGGCTGAAGAGGAGGTGCAGTCCCACTCCATGGAGCACGTAGATGTGGTGGGAGTTACCAATGCATACATGACTTTGGTTGGTTTCTGTGACCAGCACCTGCGTAGAGAAGAAGAAGGTGGCTTGCCTGGTTAGTCAGGACTTCTCCTAAACACACGAGGTGATATGTGAGCTTTTGTGGTACCCAGGAGACCTCCCTGAGCAGCACAGCTTGGGTTTAAATGGGACACTTTGGCCTCCAGCTCACCAGCATTTATGTTCCCTTTTTTTCCCCCCCCTCATTATTTCTGCTAGCTTTGGTACTAGTGAATCACTCAGTCTCCTTCTCACTTATGAGAAATGTGTCCTATCCAGCAGATGCTTCCCTTCTTCCTTCCCAGAGCACAGCAGTGCTGTGTTTAAAGCAGGCAAGATACCAGCAGTGATGCTGCTTCCTGATAAAGCTAATCCTTACAGTCCTCAAGTACATGTGTTGCAGATGTGTGCAGTTCAAACAGATGGGAAGGAGAACAAAGTAAAAAAAAAAAATACTAAATATGTTGGAAAAAAAAATTACAGAATTGTAAAAATGAATGTTCCAGATGATCAAAGACACGGAACAAGTGATGGTGTTTCTGATAATTCTTGTTTAATGTCTCTTGGCAGAAGTTAATGCTGCAGATCTGCAGCTATTCCCAGCTATTGTGGTGGAGAAAATGATAAAAGCTTTAAAACTGAACTCCAGAGAAGCCAGGCTGAGATTTCCTAGACTGCTGCAAATAATTGAAAGATATCCAGCAGAGACATTGGGTCTAGTGACACGAGAGGTTAGTTGCTTCCATTTCCCTGGCGGTAAATGTTGCTATAAATCAAATTTAAAGGTGGGGGTGGAAGTTGGATGGATACAGAGGTTAGGCTGGTAAGTTTTGCTTCAGGTAAATCAGATAAATTTTATCCAATCATTGTTTCCTTGTCTTTTCTCTAACTCACTGAGTGTAATGCATATGGACAGACACTTTTTTTCTTAAAAGTTTAACTTTCTATCATTGTTCTGATTCCAAATGTCAGTTAGAGAACTGTTGGAGGAAAACTAAGTTGTGGGTTTTTTTTTTTTTCCTTCAGAACAATCTTAAAAGGGCTGATAAAGTTGGTTAATACTAGGGTGAGGAATGTATCTTATTTCTGTAAGCTGAGTTTCCTGTATGCAAGAAGCCAGCAGCTTCTCCAGAGTAATTTTCCACATCTCCCACCTCTCCCTGTCCTGCTTCACTTCAGAGGTTACTACAGCTTCTTCGTCCTTTGTATTCCCCACTTCCTCCCTTCCACAACATGTTCTTCCATGGTGGTTCCATGGCATGAGCCCTGCTGCCTTCCCTGCTGCCTTCCCTGCTGCCTTCCCTGCTGCCTTCCCTGCTGCCTTCCCTGCTGCCTTCCCTGCTGCCTTCCCTGCTGCCTTCCCTGCTGCCATGGGACAGGGAAGCTCCTCTGTGACTCATGCCTGTTCCTGCCTTGGCCTGCCCACCTTTTCAAGCCCGTGTCATTGTGCTGGTGCACACAGAGCACCAGGCCCTGTTGGAGGAAGAACTCGAGAGAGACAGAAACACAGCTTAAGTTATCCCAAGGAACTGAGAAAGTAGCAAAACCAGCTGAGGTGCACAAGGTGTGGTCACAGTGAAACTCTAGTGCTTCAAACAGAACCTGACACCTGGTCCAGCTGACAGATCTCACCCAGAAAAGGAGTTCACCAGGCAGTTCTTCGTCCTCTCCTTTGTCTTTTTGAGAGATAAATACTGGCAATCTGATATAGAGGAACTGGAGTTTGGCCTCTGGCTATCAACAAGAAAATACACACTAGTACTTACTTTCAGAAGTGATGTGGCTTTACTAAGGAAGTGAGCGTGAAGAATATGAGAATCAGGGAACCATAGAATGCTGTGAGATGGATAGGACCTTTAAAGGTCATCTGGTCCAGCCTCCACTGCAGTGAGCAGGGACACCTTCAACTCATCAGGTTGCTTTGAGCCATGTCCACCCTGACCTTGAATATTTCTAGGGATGGAGCATCTACCACCTCTGGGCAACCTGGGTATTTCATTACCCTCATCATAAAAAAATCTCTTCCTTATATCTAGTCTAGATCTCTGCTCTTTTAGTTTAAAACCATCACCCCTTGTCTTACCTTATTGTCCCCATCTTCCTTACAGGCCTCCTTGAAGTACTGAAAACCTGCAGTAAGGTTTGCTTGGAGCTTTCCCTTCTCCAGGCTGAACAAACCCAACTCTCTCAGCCTTTCTGCATAGCAGAGAGGTTCCAGCCCTCTGATAATTTTTGTGGCCCCTCTGGACCCACTCCAACAGGTCCATGTCCTTCTGTGCTGAGGGCTCAGATCTGGCTGCAGTACTCCAGGTGGGGCCTCACAGAGCAGAGGGGCAGAATCACCTCCCTCGACCTGCTGGCCACACTTCTCTTGATGCAGCCCAGGATGCATGGCCATGGCTTTCTGGACTGCAAGCACACAGTGCCAGCTCATGTCCAGCTTTTCATCCACCAGTACCCCCAAGTCCTTCCTCACAGGGCTCCTCTTAATTCCTTCATCCCCCAGCCTGTACTGATACCTGGAATTGCCCCAGCTCATCAGGAGCTTATGTGTCAGGGGACTGCTTTCCTGAAATCAGTGCAAACCTAAATCTGTTCAAAGTTGAAGGGTGAACAAAACTGTTTGGAGTTCCAGTGTTCCCTTTCCTGGCTTTTTTTACTCAAATCAAAACTTAACCCAATGGTGTCTGAACAATCCCTTCAGATTTTTGAGTCATTTGTATGTGATGATCAAAAATTATCATGTTGCATCCAGCCAGAAAAGCCACAAGTTTGAGTATGACACCTCATCTTGATCAACAAACTGTGAATATTTGTAGTGGAAAACCTATTAAGCAGCAGCAGTGGTGGTGTGGTAGTGGTAGTAGTAATAACAATAATAGTAATGGTAATAATGAAATCTCTGCTTCATTGGGAGCTGGTTTGTGCAACCTAGTTGACATTCTCAGTTTCCTTTTCACATGTCACGTCTGTCAGGCTGGGCCACAGAGCTGTTTACTTTGTTTGGGATTTTTGAGGAGGACCAAAGTTGAGAGCAGTGTGTGTGTTTTTGCAGCTTTCTTCGGTTCCCTGTTGGCAGTTCATTGGCTGGATTAGCCAGATGATGGCACTACTTGACAAGGATGAAGCAGTAGCTGTGCAACACACTGTGGAGGAGATTGCAAATACCTATCCCCAGGCAATCATCTACCCTTTCATGATCAGCAGTGAAAGTTACTCTTTCAAAGATACTGCAACTGGTTGTAAGAACAAGGAGTTTGTAGAAAGGTGAGTTTGCTGTCAGAGTAGCTCTTCTGTATGTTTTTTATTCAAGAGTGGAGAGATTTATTTCTTTTTCTTAATCAAACTCTTCTCTTTAGGGAGCATGAGAAACAGTAGGGTTAATCCCTGGTAACCTGTGTTTTTATTTAGTGGCACAGTAAAAACCAAGACATAAGCTCTCTTAGTTTTAGATATACTCAGGTTGATGGCCTGAATACTTTCTGAAGTGTGGGGTACGTAGTCCCTAGGCTGTGGGAAGTCAGAATTTTTCCAAGATAAAACAAAAAGACCACAGAGAGGCAGCCCAATTCTCCTCTTAATTCTGTGGTAGTCAAAGTTTTTTCTTCCTTTTGCTCTGCTGAGGTGGAAGAGAGATCTGGTGCACGATTTTGTTCTTACTGTAATAGGCTTCACAGCAGTAGGAGTCAGCACCTGTCAGAGATGAAGATGAAGCTTGCTTGGATATCTACAAACTTTCTAATACCAAGAGAAAAGCAGATGCATGCAAATAGAATAGATGCTCCTACCAGACTTCAGAGAGGGGCAGTGAGATGGGTGCACATTGTCTTGGGGAGGGCCAGCTCGTGGTTGTGGTGTTCTCTGATACTCACTGTGCAGCAGGCACCTTCCTCTACCAGCCCTCCTTTGCCTGCTTTGCCATACAACAAAGCCTGAGTTAATGCCCAGGCAAAAGTCAACTTTTAGCACCACTAATACAATTTTCAATGTATTTTTATCTCTTTTTTTTTTTTTCAAATCTCTGATATATTTGCTGACTTGGATTAAAATAAGAAGATAGTCTTGTGCATCACAAACTGTATCCCCATTGAGTAACTGTCATGAGAGGATGCACAGCCTGGGTAATGCCCAGTTCTGGTGCAAGCATGCTTTCCATTCCTCCCCCAAGCTCCTATTTTCTTAGTGGGACACTTAATTAAGAAGCTGGGAGCTGCATGGTGAGGACAGTCAATATATTAACAGTTGGGCGGCCTGAGGGAGAGTTCTGAGGGAGTCCCACCATAGATTGTTTTACCAGATTCCTGAAAGCAGCAGACAGTCTGGATGGTTGCTTACCTGGCAGGCTTGTTGCTGGTGGTAGTTCCTGTTGTGTCATGGGGCACTTTTTCCTTTAAAGGCTCAAGGCTAAGCTGGACAAAGGAGGAGTGGTTGGAGATTTCATTCACGCTCTGGAACAGCTCTCCAGTCCCGTCATGCTCTTTAAGGTAAAGTGTGGGGTGTTTTACTCCCCTTGTTCCTCACCTTCTGAAGGGAGGGGGGTGCTGGGTGGAGCCCCACTCTGCACTTTGTTTGGCACCACAGCCACAGGAAGTGGTTCAGCCCAGTGTCGGGGTGCTGCCAGCAGCTTTCACTGGAGATGCTGGCCCTGCCCTCTGCCAGCTGCCTGGTTTGCACCAGCCCTGGGCAGGGTCTCTGCCCTTTCCCATGGGCAGCCTACCTTAATTGTTCTGAAACCATTACAGAATTGCCATTGTGGCCATCTCTATAATTTCTGGCTACTTGTTCTTGGGTGCTTTCCCTGCTCTCTGCTGGGCTTCCCTGTCTATGTTCTGAACCCATTGTCCAAAGGATTCTCATCATGTGTTTGGGACCACTCCTGGCCCCATGGAGGCTCTCTTAGTTTGCACGAGACACTATGGTAATAACCAAAATTATCTTTAATAAAGTAGAAACATTTTATCAAGAGACAGAATGAGAGGGAAACATTTCCATACACTTTTGATTGCTCTTTTGATTGTCAGAAGACAATTTAATATTAGTAAATCCATTAATTCAAAAGGAACCTGAGCAGATCACCAAAGAGCAGGTCAGTAAACTCTTGGTACTCATCTGTTTCCTTCTCTTTGCAGGACTGGGTTGAGGATGTCAGAAACGAGTTGTTAAAAGCTCAGAGAAATAAAAACAAGCTTAAGGAAATGTATGAAGGAATGTACAAGAACTTGGGAAGCTTAGAGGCTCCTGGCCTTGGATTGCTGAGGAAAAGGTTTGCTCAGGTATGTGTGATTACTGAGTAGCAGCATCGTGTGCTTTTCTGGTAGGCACTAGAATTCAGAAGAGGGACCAGATCACAGCTTTTACAGGTGCTGCAGGACTTGATGAGACAAGAGGTCACGTCAGGAGTACAGGGCTGGGATTTCTTTGCTAGAAGCTATGGACTTATGTAGTTCAACTTCCACTTCTGCCAGCCATGCAGGACTAAATGTTCCCTCAGTTTTCTGCCTCCCCTGTCCTGCACACTGGCAGGTTCTCAGGGCCTGGGTGCCTCTGACCATCTGGGAACATGCAGAGGAATCTGGCCTTGTGGGTTTTTTTTCTTCTGCCAAGGATGTAGGAGCACTTCAGAGTGTTTTTCTGTGTTTTGCTACCCAAACTTGCTGCTGGTATGAAGTTATTTAGTTAAGTTATTCAAAAGAGTTAGAATTATGAAGAATTACAGGCAGGACCTTGCAAAACTGGCTGAGATCTAAAATAGTGAAAGTCAGTGTAGAAAAATAAAGTGATGCACATAGCAAAAAAAAAAACCCCAAACCCTAGTTAGTTTATTATATAAATTCTTCATGTTTGAGCTGGCTATTGTAATCCAAGAACAAAATCTTGATTTCTGATAGTTCTGTGTAAAGGTCAGCTGTGGATACCCAAGAGCAGAGAAACAAAAGCAGCTCTTAGTCATTGTTAAGAACAGAGAACAAAACATGGATTTCTTCATTGACATAGCAGCCTCCCCTGACTCTTGCCTATTGAACCCATCATCCTCATCCACTGTGAGGTTCAGAGTGGCAAGAATAATCAAAGGTGCAGAGTAACCTCTGCATAAGAAGCAACTTCAGCATTCCTCTCGTTGGAAAAGACACAATGAAGCCAAACAATAAAGCTCTTAACGTCAGGAGTGCCAAGCATGAAGTAAACATTCTGTGGAAGTGGCAGGTTCAAAACCAACAGGGAGAAGTGTTCCCTCATTCAGTACACACTTAAGTGCTGAACTCCTGCAGCAGGGTATTATGGATGGTTTCATGGGTTCCAATAGCAATTAGGCAACAGAATGAGGAAGGCAAAAATGCTTTGAGAGCTTTTGTGTACAAATGCACACTTCTGGGATTTCTGCACTCTGAAATCCCTGAGCTGCATACTGCTGGAGGTGAGGAGGGTGATACTGCTGTAGAAGTGTGGGTGTATGCTTCTACTCTATGCCCACAGCCAGGGCTGGGTGGATCCAGGTCTCTCCCATGTGGCCACTTTTATGTCACATTAGCATTAAACTTAGCAGAGTGTCTTTAGGGAGATTTCCTTCCCCGTGAGCAGGGAGGGTGGAAGTTAAGAGTAAAGTGGAGTTGGGAGAAGCTGAGATGATGGAGCAGCAAAAAGGGCAGCTAGGATTTTAGGGGCAAACCAGCCCTTTGAACGTGTAGCTGCAAGATAAATTGGGTCTCTGGGGATAATGACTTTAAAATGATGATAAGAATTTGCAGGATGTGCTGCTGCCAGGGTGGGAGCAGAGGGAGAGGAGAAGCTCTGGGTTGAGCCACAGAGGGTACGAGTGCAGCCAGGGACCTGGCAAGCCCAAGGACAAAGGCAGGCTGTGCCTGCTTGTTGAGGTGGTTTGTGTGCACTTTGGCCCACTTAAAAAAAAAAATCCCTAGCTCTTGAAAAAGCTGAAATGTGCAGCAGCTGGGGATACTGCAAGTAGTGCTGGTGGGTTTTAAATCATTACTGCATTAACCAGACAGGGAGAGAACAGCAGGGGAGGTGCTGGAAGAGGGGTGGTGGGGTTGTTCCCCTCTGAAGGGAAGAGGGAGAGCAGTATCCCTTTCACACACTTGCAGCTGCAGCAGAAAAGGGTCAGGGTGATGGTGCACAGGCCCTGAATTCTTTGCCTTCAAGAAGAAACAAAGTGTGCTGTGAGGATAACTGTATAGTTTCTAGTGTCCTTGCTGGGAAAAAAATGTTGTATCTCTTGACTGACACATGAAATTGCTCTAATAAGTGGAGGACTTCAGTCCTGTAATCTTCATCTGTATTATTTATGTACAATTTCAGATGTAACTTTAACAATAAGAATCTTGCATTTATTTTTAACGTGAAATTCTAATAATGCACAAATTAAATGCTGTTGAGGGTTTGTATTGATTAAAATGCAGTGTTAAGGCTATTAAATACTTGCTGCCTTGAATTTTAAAAAGTCAGAGAACAGAATAGAGAAAACAATCAGATGATCATCTGGAAATAGATTTAAAGTGATAAAGATGTTGACTGTAGCAGCCTCTTTTTCAGAAGGAGAATATTTTCTGTATTTTCATTTCCTTCAGTGAGATAGCTGTGTCCTTCATAGCCTGGGAGAAAAATGATGAGACGTTGTAAAAACAAGGGAGCTTGCATATCTTTCCAAGCTGTTAATGCCACTGAGGTCCAAGAGGAGACATCTGTTTTTTCTAGAACCTTGAATTATGAACATAAAAAGTCAACTCAGTTAACTACTTGCAGATAATGCCTACTTTGTTTATTAAATGGATCAGTATGAAATGTCTTTGCACTTTTCCTCTATCAAGGTATTAAAATACTTTAAAAATATGGGTTTATACATTTTACATCCAAAATTATCTCAAAGCAAATCACAAATGATGAATGTGATAGTAAATAAAATTTACATTGATCTTTTCTAACATGACACAAAAAAATGTTTTAATACATGATTTTTTATGACCTGCATTACATATACATACAATGTAAATTTTAGTTAGAAAAAAAGGTATAAATGAAATCAGCTATTTGCTTGCTCTGTAGTGTGTTGCTGCTGGTTTGGAAAAAAAAACACCCAAAAAAAACCCCAAATAAACAAAACCAAAGAAAACAAAAACAACAGAATAAAAAGCTAAATCCAAAGTCCAGTAAAAACCCCACACCTTCCATGGATCACATTCACAATCAAGGGAGATAAAAGATTAGCTGATTCACCCATCTGTTTTGCTGTGGGGGTTTGGTTTGGTGTTTTTTTTTACCATTTCTAAATCAACCAGTTGAGGGTTTTGGGGCTTTTGCAGCAGTTTGAAAGTGTGGTGACGTATGAAGACTGGGGCATCAATTAAATGTTCTGATAACAATCCTATATTTAGGTTCATGTTGGAATTTGTATTTGTTTAATAGGTGCAAATGTAAATATTTGTATTTTTTATTAATATTTCACTATCTCATCTTACACAGATGAGATATGTGTATTAAGGTTAATAAGCAGCATTATTGATACACTCACCCAGAATCCAGCTGCAGCTGGAGGAGGTAAAAGGGATAAGTTTTTGGGTTAGATATAGCAAAAAGGTTTGTGATTTAATTCTGCAGATCTTCAGTATCACTGAGTTGGTCAAATGTGGATATTTCTGTGATGGTAACTGGTGGGTCTACCAAACAGGCAGTGAAAAGGTTCTGACAGGCTAGAAATAATGGAGGAAAAAAGAAAGGACAGAATTGGAAGGACGGCTGATACAATTTAGGAACTCAGATGAAGCTCTGTGTGTAGATAAGAAGATACTGTTCTGGTGTTCTTGGGGAATTCCCAGCACTGAGTTAACAGGATTCCTTTCTGTAAACGAACCTCAGGCTTTTGGGAAGGACTTCAGCCATCATTTTGGAAAAGGTGGTTCAGAATTGTTGGATATGAAGGTCAGCGACTTTGAAGCGATTACAACTTCTCTCCTCTCAAAAATGAACAAAACCCATAAAGAACCTGGAAACCTGAAAGAATGTTCACCATGGATGAGTGAGTTCAAACCTGAGTTCTTGAGGAATGAGCTGGAGGTTCCTGGTAAGTTCTCCTTCAGTGGTGATGGTGAACTGTCCCTTACAAGAAGGTGGCTGCTCCTTCTTATGTTGGCTATATGGCTCTTCTTTCTGGCCTTACACAGAGGTAGATTTCATCTGAAATAACTCTGTTCATTCATCACCTCTTAAATCTGTTCTTAAGCTGTAGTCCTGATTTTAAAAATTGTATCTAAAATTGCATCTCTTACCTAAGAACTTAATATTATTTTTAAAGGGCTGACTCTGGGAAATCTGATAAATAAATCTAATATCTGTTTAAATCTAGTTCAGAAAGGATGTGTCCTCTGAAACCATTAAGAGCTACAATTCTAACAGCTTAACAAGGAAAGAATAGCAGTAATCCACAGATAAAATCATATGATTTTATGATGGATTTTTAGGCATTGAGAAATATTTTCATCATAGTTATCATTCTGCAAATATGCCAACATATTTGGAAGTGTGTTCTGTTCTTAAATAGACTTTAAAATTAAATACAGTCTATGTATTTGTCTGCTTTTTTTGTCTAATTTGTCTGCTTTTTTTTTTCCCACTACCCCTTCAGGTCAGTATGATGGAAGAGGGAAACCACTGCCAGAGTACCACGCAAAAATCTCTGGGTTTGATGAGCGGGTATGTTTTTGAGTCAAGATCCTAAGGGTGGCATAAACTTGTGTCCACATTCAATCTGGAGGATCTGACAGCAGCAGGGTGGCTGCCTGTGGACACATCTTGCAGCACAAAGGGAGGTCTGCAAGCGGGCATTTGGTTTTCTAGAAGTAACTGAGCAACTTGACTATGCCACCAAGGAGTGACAGCCACGCTTCGTTTCGCTGGCGGTTGTGCAAGGCCAAGTCTTCTGTCACAGATATTTTGCTTTTTCTTTGTCTTTCTCCAAGGTAAGTGTGATGGAGTCCTTGAGGAAGCCCAAACGTATAACGATCCGTGGCAGTGACGAGCAGGAGTATCCCTTCCTTGTCAAAGGTGGGGAGGACCTGCGGCAGGACCAGCGTATTGAGCAGCTCTTCGATGTGATGAACATTGTCCTCTCCCAAGATGCTGCTTGTAGCCAAAGGAATATGCAGCTAAAAACTTACCAGGTCATCCCCATGACGACAAGGTAGGCATTTGTCTTGATGGGACTGAAATCCTTATTTTAAAATCTTTTGCTATTGGGATGTTGGAAAGTGAGATTTCTGTGTGCCAGGTTCTGATTCAGAATGTTTTGTGTCTTAACTCTCTGCTTCTTTTCCTTTAAAAGAACATTGAAATTGCTTTGTCTGGAGACTATTTTTTAGAATATACTTAAATTGGTAGCTTTCAACCTTCTTTGACCAGGCACTAGAATGTGTTGTTTCCTATTTGTGGTCTTCCTCTAAAGTTCAACCTTGAGCTACTCGTTCGTGTCTCTGGTTCTTTTGCTCCAGACTGGGACTCATCAAGTGGCTGGAAAATACTTGTACTTTAAAAGAATTCCTTAATAACAGCATGTCTGAAGAGGAAGACCTCATCTATAACAGGTGATGCTTTGTTTAGCTGTCTAAATAATAGAACCAGTACTACTGGGATTTTTGATGCTGACAGTCTTATGGCAACATTTTCTTTTTTTCTTTAAGATTCAAATAAAAGTGTGCCTATTAGCAAGGAGGCAGTTTGTACTTCCTGACCCAAATTAGTAATTGGCAACTGTTTGTTTAATGAGTACCATTGTACCTGGCATATCCTCCACCCAGCTTGTTTAAACAAGAGGCTTATAATCACAGTGTGACGTCATTATCATCACCATTTCCTTATCAGCAGATTGATTTTACAAGCAAAGGATTTTAATCTCTTGATTTGATCGGGCAGGAAATGGACATAGGTCAGCAAGGGGGGTTGCAGAGGAGAGACAGAGCTATTCAGAACCTGGGTTGACAAGGGAGTAACAGCTG